TCGATGTTTCTCTCTCATCGATGTTTCTAACTCTCTGTCCCTCTCCCTTCCTCTCTGTAGAAAATCAATAAAATATATTTAAAAAAATAAATAAAAATAAAAACTGAATTCTTTTGTCCTTAGGATAAATATTATGAATATTTCCCATATAATTACTAAAGACTCGCTGCCAATCATCTGATAATTGCCAATGGATATCTTGTTGTTTACTAAAGGGAATTATAATTTCATCTGGATCTTGTCCACATAATTGTCGCAAACGGATTCTTGCCTTTTCTATTAAAATGCAAATTTTCTGTAAATAGGTAGATAATTTTTTACTGGATTTATGAGGTAAAAATACCCATACAATTATGTTAGTATCCTGCATAAGAATTCCTGTTGGAGAATGTGTGGTATGAATAATTAAAACCTTAAGATTTTGTAATGATTGTATACGATCTAACTGTCCTGCTTGAATTTGTTGTTCAATTAATTGTAATTCGGCTTCTGCCTCAGGAGTCAATTGCCTAGGACTATTGAGATCTGAAGACCCTTCTAATGTCCGGAATAGACTAGTTAACTGATAGGTAGGGATGCCAATAGATGGTCGAAGCCAATTTATATCCCCCAACAGTTTCTGAAAATCATCTAAGGTGTTGAGACAATCCTGTCTAATCTGCACCTTTTGAGGTTGAATAATGCTTGCTGAAATTTTCTGTCCTAGATATAACCAGGGCTCTATTTGCTGAATTTTTTCCTCTGCTATTTGGAGTCCATACTCTAAATAACTTTCTAGCCTCCTGTAACAAATGCCTGTAAAGGTTGATGAACATAAGCTTGACACATAGTAGGACTATTTAACATACCCTGGGGGAGGACTCGCTATTGATATCTCTGATTAGGTTGGCTGTTACTTAATGAAGGGACCGTAAAAGCAAATTTGTCACAATCCTGAGGTTGTAAAGGGATTGTATAAAAACAGTCTTTTAAATCAATAATTATCAGATGCCAATTTTTTTTAAAATACATTTTATTGATTTTTTACAGAGAGGAAGGGAGAGGGATAGAGAGCCAGAAACACTGATGAGAGAGAAACATGGATCAGCTGCCTCCTGCACACCCCCCACTGGGGATGTGCCCGCAACCAAGGCACATGCCCTTGACCGGAATCGAACCTGGGACCCTTGAGTCCACAGGCCGACGCTCTACCCACTGAGCCAAACCGGTTACGGCCAGATGCCAATTTTTAGGAATTAATGCTGGATTTATAATTCCAGGTTGTAAAGGTCCTATAGGCTCAATAATCTCATTAATCTGTCTTAAATCAGTAAGCATTCTCCATTTACCTGATTTTTTTTTTATATATAACAAAGACGGGAATTTCATGGACTAGAGCTAGTTTCTATATGCCCTAATTGTATCTGTTCTTTAATAATGATTTGAAGAGCTTCTAACTTCTCTCTTGTTAGGGGCCACTGCTCTACCCATACTGGTTTAGTTGTTTTCCATTTTAATGGTAGGGCGAAGCTCTTTGTAGTGGCCCCCTTTATAAATTTTGATCCTGAACATTGGTGCCAGCAGCTTGAAAAAAAATCATTTGTCTATGGCCTTTCTGTAAAGAAGGTATAGTAATTGTAGCCCCCCATTGTTGTAAAAGATCTCGTCCCCACAAAGATAGTGCAATGGAGGCGACATATGGCTGTATTTGGCCCTTTTGTCCTTCAGGCCCCTGACATTCAAGTACATTAGAGCTTTGTAAAATCTCAGTGAGGGTCCCTAAACCTGTAAAGGTTGCATTTACCTTGTGTACTGGCCAAGATTGAGGCCAGTGCAAAATAGAAATTATAGTCACATCAGCCCCAGAATCCACCAGGCTGATAATTTTTATTCCCTCCAGGAACATTACTGTAAGTTGAGGTCTTTGGTCTCCTAAGACTGCATGCCAAAAAACCTTTTTTCCCGTGCTACCAAATCCCCCAGTTCACTTAACTGGTGCTGTATGCCCTATTTGTTTATAGGGAAGTAATAATAACTGTGCCATTTTTTCTCCAGCCTTTATATGTACAATATCAGAAGCAGACATCATAACTAATATTTCTCCTTCGTAATCTGCATTAATAGCTCCGGGATGAACTTGTAAACCTTTAGTCGTTAGACTACTTCTTCCCAGTAGCAATCCTACTGTTTCCTTAGGTAAAGGTCCATAAACCCCGGTGGGTATTTCTGTACCCCATCTCCAGGAGAAATAGTAAAATCATTAAGAGCTGGAATGTCTACTGCGGCACTTTGAGCGGTAGCATGAAATAAGTCAGAGACCTTCATTTTATTTTTCCCTTCTTTCTGCTCGTATTGTTTTTCTCCAGGCCCCCAGCTGAGCCCGGAGTCTAGTTTCTCGACTGCAGGGGTGTTAATGGGTTGCCGTCTTTATCTTTAACAGACAGGCATTCATTAGCCTAATGTTGTCCCCTTTTACATCTAGGGCATAATCCGGGAGCACTTTTGGCTTTCCCTTGTGAGACTTTTGCCTCCCCACAATCCTTTTTTATATGTCCCATTCTCCCACATCCATAGCATTTAACAGGACGGGGAATGGCAGTTTTTAATGCTTAAAATGATTGGACCGCGGTGCTGGCCTCCTCCATTTTGACCAAGCCTTTAAGCAACAAGGTTTAATCTGTGCAATAACAGCATCCTCTAACAGCACCTGTTGCTGTAAGCTAATATGTGCCCCAGTTCCTGTTAACTGGTCAAAATTAGGTCCAGGAGGATTTTATTGGGCGTTAATCAACGCCACTCTCCTGGCTTCTTCCCACCACCAGGATTTAAATTGCAGATATTTCCCTGGGGCTAATACTGCCTTAGCTATAGCATCCCAATCATATGGAATTAATTTATAATTTGAAGCCAGAGCTTATATTATTCCTACTGTATATGGGGCATTAGCCCCATAATTAGCAACTGACTCTTTTTTAACAGTTTTATCACTCTTAACTCTACATGTTGATGAGTTAACTCTATGTACCCTTGAGGGTTTTGAGCTTTAGCAGCTCTTTGTGTCCTCAGGAGGGGGTGGAGGCTCAGCCACTAACGCCTGATTAAAGGCTAGTGCCCTTTTACTTTCACTTTTTGGCGGCGGTGCAGCCAACTCCTGAGGACTTTTATTCTTGTTCTTTTCCTTAACTTAAGGCGAGTGTAAAAATCACCATCCATCTCAGTGGTAGATGAAACATCCAGCTCTGAATCGCTGGCTGAGGCTATGGTTTCATAACCTTCTAACTTATTTTGAAAGTTAGTTTTCTGTTTCTTTCTTGACTCCCTCGGTTCTGTGACCGAACCGGGAGTGGCTCAGAGGTAGTAATTTCTCAGGAGAGAGAGGCTCAGGACTTAAACACCCAGCTCCTGGTGCAGCACTTCTCGACCTCAAAGGAATTTCTTCATAATTTTCAGAATCAGACTGAGAAGGCTGTAAAGCTAACCTTTTTTTTTCCTTTTTTTTTTAAAATTAAATCTTTATTGTTCAGGTTACATTTGTTCCTCTTTTTTTCCCCCCCATAACTCCCCTCCTCCCAGTTCCCGCCCCACCCTCCGCCCTCACTCCCCACCCACTGTCCTCATCCATAGGTGCACGATTTTTGTCCAGTCTCTTCCCGCATCTCCCATTCCCCTTTCCCCCCCAAGAATAGTCAGTCCATTCCCTTTCTATGTCCCTGATTCATTATAATCACCAGTTCATTCTGTAAATCAGATTATTTATTCACTTGATTCTTAGATTCACTTGTTGATAGATGCATGTTTGTTGTTCACAATTTGTATCTTTACCTTTTTCTTCTTCCTCCTCTTAAAGGATACCTTTCAGCATTTCATATAATACTGGTTTAGTGGTGATGAACTCCTTTAGCTTTTCCTTATCTGTGAAGCTCTTTATCTGACCTTCAATTCTGAATGATAGCTTTGCTGGATAAAGTAATCTTGGTTGTAGGTTCTTGGCATTCATCACTTTGAATATTTCTTGCCACTCCCTTCTGGCCTGCAAAGTTTCTGTTGAGAAATCAGCTGACAGTCGTATGGGTATTCCCTTGTAGGTAATTGAGTCTCTTTCTCTTGCTGCTTTTAAGATTCTCTCTTTGTCTTTTGCTCTTGGCATTTTAATTATGATATGTCTTGGTGTGGTCCTCTTTGGATTCCTTTTGTTTGGGGTTCTCTGCGCTTCTTGGACCTGTAAGTCCATTTCTTTCACCAGGTGGGGGAAGTTTTCTGCCATTATTTCTTCAAATAGGTTTTCAATATCTTGCTGTCTCTCATCTTCTGGCACCCCAATTATTCTGATGTTTGTACGCTTGAAGCTGTCCCAGAGGCTCCTTACACTATCTTCATATTTTCGGATTCTTTTTTCATTTTGCTTTTCCGGTTGGGTGTTTTTTGCTTCTTCGCATTTCAAATCTTTGACTTGATTCTTGCGCTCCTCTGGTCTGCTATTGGGTGTCTGTATAATATTCTTTATTTCAGTCCGTGTATGCTTAATTTCTAGTTGGTTCTTTATCATAGCATCGAGGGTCTCATTAGTTTTCGTGACTCTCTCCTCAAGTTTATTGACAGCTTCTAGCACATTTTTGCAAGCCCTCAAAATTGCGATTTTTAGCTCTATATCCTCCATTTCTGTCATGTTTTTTTGTCTCCGCATTTTTTATGCTTTCTTGGTGCACCCCCTAGTGGTCTTTGTGCGCAGTCTTGTTCTAGTTGAGCCTTGATTGTTGTAGTTAATACTAGAGGGACAGGGTGGGCGGAGGGAGCGGTTATGGCCCCTCTCAGTCCCGTTCCCAGAGGCTCTGCTTCTCAGAACCCCCGGAACCGCTGCAAACCTCGGAGGGAAAGCTGCCTTCCAACTGATGCCAGACACTCCCGCTTCTCCCGTTTGGGTCCGAGTCCCCAGCGATTCGCCCGTATCTGGAGCTCAGAGTCTGAGACTCCCCCCTGACCGAAAACGACAACCGCGCTCTCAGCCACCAGCCCGCTTTGCGCGCGCACCTCCGCACCTGAGTTTTTTCCACACTGCGCCTCCTCTGAGCCTCGGTGTGCTGTTATTTTTCCTTCTAGTTGAAGAGTCTCTCCTCAGCCAGCCTTCCTGTGGTTCTGGGTGATGTCCGTTCCGTCTTTTAGTTGTATTTTTGAAGTGGTTGTTTGCGGCAGCAGTCTCCGGTGTTTACCTATGCCGCCATCTTGGTCTCTCAAAGCTAACCTTACTAAATTAAAAATAGCCCATACTTCAGCCTCTATAGCATTTTTTCCCACTTGTTTCCACAACTTAAGATTTAACTGCTGTTTTCCTTCTGGGTGAAACCAGTAACAGTGCTGCTGAATTACTTTAAACAATTTTTAAAAAGCCTCATCCTTCCCTTTTACCCCTGAGCTCTGTAATAATGATCGGAAGACAGCGATATATTGACTCTGTAATAACGGGGATTGCCCCATTGACTCTGTCTTCTATTCCCGAAAGTTTCGCGTACTTCCTGAGTGGTCAGTTCCCTTTCGGTCCTGCCCATTCCCAATCACTCACCTTCGGGTCCCTGTTCAGGCGCCATATGCAGGTGGTCTGCAGGTGAACAGTGATGCTGAGATGAGTTCAGCAAGCAGGATTGAGCTAAGAGAAGCAGAGGGCTACTGCTCACTCAGGCGTGTAGCAAAACCTCCAAGGCTCTCATGGCTTTTATTTGGGGAGTACAGCAAATAACAATGGAGTACAGCAAGTGACAATGGTAAACAGGCATGCCTATGAGATCATCTGAGCTAAGTTATACATTAAACTATTAATTTCCTATGTTATACAAAGACCCTTTCCACCTGCAGCAGTGTACCCTCCTTGGCTTTCCATGCCCTCTTGGACTATTTATCACCTCAAGGAAATTCTGCCTCTGAACAATAAATCTTGGGTGCAAGACTTTGTTCTGACGTGGCCCACTTGCAGGCCCCTGCCTTTTCTTGGCAGAACGTCCTCTTCTAGTTAACTTCATTCCACTTGACCAGCTACACTTAACAAACCAGTTCAGATGCCCCGCCTCCTGGGAGCCAGGCCCCAGGTGATCCCACCCCCACCTCGCAGGTTCTCAGAATCCCCCCTGGGAGTCCCCAAAATGCCCATCGCAGGGGATGTTTGCAATAGTATGAATCCAAGACTAGTCTCTCCCATTGTTTTCATTGTCCCTCCTTGTACTTTACTTGAATGTCTTTATAGCAACTCTGATGGAACTCTGGCTTCGGGGATGACAAAGGTCCCTCTTATTTGTTTTATTTTTGGTTGGATTTTGTTTGATTTTGTTGGTGTGTTGTTTTTTTAATGTACTTTTATTGATTTCAGAGAGGAAGGGAGAGGGAGATAGAGAGAAACATCAATGATGACAGAGAACCATGGATCAGCTTCCTCCTCCATGCCCCACATGGGGGATGGAGCCCCCAACCTGGGCATGTGCCCTGACCGGGAATGGAACCGTGACCTCCTGGTTCCTAGGTCGGCCCTCAACCAGTGAGCCACACCAGATGGGCAATCTATTTGTTTTTGTTTCTACTGGAGCCCCTTCCATTTGTTTTCACCTATAGTAGGAGCATCATAAACATCTGTTGAGCGAATGATATTGTGTACCTTAATATGTCCTCAGATATGGTTACTCCTTCCAGTAATTTTCTTAAAGGACTGAGTCCAAAAGAAATCCAACAGGCCTGGCTAGAGTGGCTCAGTGGTTGAATGTGGACTTTGAACCAAGCAGATATGGTTACTCCTTCCAGTAATTTTCTTAAAGGACTGAGTCCAAAAGAAATCCAACAGGGCCTGGCTAGAGTGGTCAGTGGTTGAATGTGGACTGTTGAAACCAAGAGGTCTGGGTTCAATTCCTGGTCAGGGTACATGCCCAGGTTGGGGGCTCCATCCCCGTTTGGGGCCTGCAGGAGGAAGCTGATTCATGGTTCTCTCTCATCATTGATATTTCTCTCTCCCTCTCACTTCCTCTCTGAAGCCAATAAAAATACATTTAAAAAACAACAAACAAAAAAAACAGGCTAGGGGACTTTAATACACCACTGACACCACTGGATAAGCCCGCTAGACAAACAATCAGCAAGGAAACAGCATTCCTAAATGACTCACTAGATCAGATGGACTTAATTGACATCTTCAGAACACTTCACCCCAAAGCCATGGAATATACATTCCTCTCAGGTGCTCATGGGACATATTCAAAAATAGACCACATATTGGGTCACAAGCAAAGTCTCCACAAATTCAAGAAGATTGAAATCATAAAAAGCTTCTTCTCAGACCACGATGGCATAATGTTAGAAATAAACTACAATAAAAACAACCCAAAATACTCAAACACTTGGAAGCTGAATAGCATGTTATTAAATATTGATTGGGTTACCAATGACATCAAAGAAGAAATTAAAAACATCCTGGAAACTAATGACAATGAAAACACAACAATCCAAAACCTATGGGACACAATGAAAGCAGTCCTGAGAGGGAAGTTTATAGCTCTACAGGCCTACCTCAAAAAACAAGAAAAAATGGTAGTAAATCATCTAACTCTACAACTCAAAGAATTAGAAAGAGAGCAACAAGAAAACCCCAGAGTGAGCAGAAGGAAGGAGATAATAAAGATTAGAGCAGAAATAAATGACATAGAGACCAAAAAAACAATACAGAAAATCAATGAAACCAAGAGCTGGTTCTTTGAAAGGATAAACAAGATTGACAAACCTCTAGCCAGGCTCACCAAAAAGCAAAGAGAGAGGACCCAAATAAACCAAATCAGAAATGATAGAGGCGAAATAACAACAGACCCCACAGAAATACAAATGATTGTTAAAAAATACTATGAACAACTCTACTCCAACAAACTAGACAACCTGGAGGAAATGGACAAATTCCTAGGAAAATACAACATCCCAAAACTCAATCAGGAAGAATCTAAAAACCTCAATAGGCCAATAACTATGGAAGAAATTGAAGCAGTCATCAAAAAGCTCCCAGCAAACAAAAGCCCAGGACCAGATGGCTTCTCAGGGGAGTTTTACCAAACTTTCAAGGAAGAACTAAAACCTATCCTCCTCAGACTACTACAAAAAATTCAGGAGGAAGGAACACTTCCAAGCTCATTCTATGAAGCCAGCATCACCCTAATACCAAAACCAGGTAAAGACAACACAATGAAAGAGAATTACAGGCCAATATCCCTCATGAACATAGATGCCAAAATCCTCAACAAAATCTTAGCAAATCGGATCCAACAGTACATCAGAAAGATCATACACCATGACCAAGTAGGATTTATCCCAGGAATGCAAGGATGGTACAACATCCGTAAATCAATAAACGTAATACATCACATAAACAAATTGAAAGAAAAAAACCACATGGTCATATCAATTGATGCAGAAAAAGCATTCGACAAAATCCAACACCCATTTTTGATAAAAACTCTCAGCAAGGTGGGAATAGAAGGATCATACCTCAACATAATAAAAGCCATATATGACAAACCCACAGCCAACATCATACTCAATGGACAAAAACTAACACCATTTCCCCTAAAAACAGGAACAAGACAGGGATGCCCACTCTCACCACTCCTGTTCAACATAGTACTGGAAATATTAGCCATTGCAATTAGACAAGAAGAAGAAATAAAAGGCATCCAAATTGGAAAAGAGGAAGTAAAACTGTCCTTATTTGCAGACGACATGATATTATACATACAAAACCCTAGAGACTCCATCAAAAAACTACTAGACTTAATACATGAATTTGGCAATGTAGCAGGATACAAAATTAACCCCAAGAAATCTGAGGCATTTCTATACACCAATAGTGAACTTTCAGAAAGAGAGATTATAAAAACAATCCCATTTACCATCGCACCAAAAAAATTAAGCTACCTAGGAATAAACTTAACTAAAGAGGTAAAAGACCTCTACTCAGAAAACTACAGGACATTGAAAAAAGAGATAGAGGAAGACATAAAGAGATGGAAGAACATACCATGTTCTTGGATTGGTAGAATCAACATCATTAAAATGTCCATACTACCCAAAGCAATCTATAAATTCAACGCACTTCCCATTAAAATACCAATGGCCTACTTCAAAGATCTAGAACGAACTCTCCAAAAATTCATCTGGAATAAAAAAAGACCCCGAATAGCTGCAGCGATCCTGAGAAAGAACAAAGTAGGTGGGATCTCAATGCCAGATATCAAGCTGTATTACAAAGCCACTGTTCTCAAAACTGCCTGGTACTGGCACAAGAACAGACATATAGATCAGTGGAATAGAATAGAGAGTCCAGAAATTAGCCCGAACCAATATGCTCAATTAATATTTGACAAAGGAGGCAAGAACATACAATGGAGCCAAGATAGTCTCTTCAATAAATGGTGTTGGGAAAATTGGACAGATATATGCAAGAAAATGAAACTAGACCACCAACTTACACCATACACAAGAATAAACTCAAAATGGATAAAGGACTTAAATGTACGACAGGAAACCATAAAAATTCTAGAAGAATCCAAAGGCAACAAAATCTCAGACATATGCCAAAGCAATTTCTTCACTGATACAGCTCCTAGGGCAGTTGAAACTAAAGAGAAAATGAACAAATGGGACTACATCAAAATAAAAAGCTTCTGCACAGCAAAAGAAACCATCAACAAAACAACAAGAAAACCCACTGCGTGGGAAAACATATTTGCCAACGTCATATCTGATAAGGGCCTAATCTCCAAAATTTATAGGGAACTCATACAACTTAACAAAAAGAAGATAAACAATCCAATCAAAAAATGGGCAAAGGATCTAAATAGACACCTTTCAAAAGAGGACATTCAGAAAGCCAAGAGACATATGAAAACATGCTCAAAGTCACTAATCATCCGAGAGATGCAAATCAAAACAACAATGAGGTACCATCTCACACCTGTCAGAATGGCTATCATCAACAAATCAACAAACGACAAGTGCTGGAGAGGATGTGGAGAAAAAGGAACACTTGTGCACTGCTGGTGGGAATGCAGACTGGTGCAGCCACTATGGAAGACAGTATGGAGTTTCCTCAAAAAACTGGAAATGGAACTCCCATTTGACCCTGTGATCCCACTTCTAGGAATATATCCCAAGAAACCAGAAACACCAATCAGAAAGGATATATGCACCCATATGTTCATAGCAGCACAATTCACCATAGCTAAGATCTGGAAACAGCCTAAGTGCCCATCAGTAGATGAATGGATTAGAAAACTGTGGTACATCTACACGATGGAATACTATGCTGCTGTAAAAAAGAAGGAACTCTTACAATTTGCAACGGCATGGATGGAGCTGGAGAGCATTATGCTAAGTGAAATAAGCCAGTCAATGAAGGAAAAATACCACATGATCTCACTCATTCATGGATAATAAAGACCATTACAAACTTTTGAACAATAATAGATACAGAGGCAGAGCTGCCTCAAACTGATTGTCAAACTGCAGTGGGAAGGCCAGAGAGGGTTGGGGGGCAGAAGGGAGGGGAGTAAGAGATCAACCGAAGGACTTGTATGCATGCATATAAGCAAAACCAATGGACATAAGACACTGGGGGGTAGGGGAAGCCAGGGGATTGTCAAGGGCGGGG